AATAATTCTGCACTCCCTGTATAGTAGATCAGTGGATGATCTTTTGTACGAAATGTTATCGATCGTGTTACCGAGTTTACCAAAGTTTATAAAAGATACCCTAAAAACCACCTTTCGTTTTATCCCCTGTGACATGACTAATGAATGTAGCAAAATGTTCAAAAGTTTCTATTCTTTACATCTTAAAAAATGAAATTAAAATCAGCTAATCATCTGCATATACTGTAATTGTACATTGATGAAAACGGTGTGTGGAAAAAAGAGAGAAACAAAAATAGGATTTTAAACAGTTGAATAGAAGCAGGTGAAGGAAGAGAAGAAAAATTGTGGAGGGTGAGTCCAGCCCCCCCCCCACGTCAGACGTCAGAGTCTGAGACACAAAACAAGTTGCTCTCAGCTGAGCCTTTCACTCTCTTTTCACCCTCACCCACGCGCTCTTTCTCAGACAAGCCACTTACCACAGACGTTGCTCAGTTTTCTGCCACTCAGTGTGGATGTGACGGCACAACTGGCCAAGGACCACGTCTGTCACTACCTGAAACCTGCATCTCGCTGCACGTGAGTGATGGCTGATTCTGGGTGAAGCTGCCAAAGAGAGCGAGAGAAGTGCTCGGAAGTGCTCACCCCAACACCTCACCCCCGACCCCGTCTGAAAGAGCGGCAGATGCGATAGAAGAGGAGAGGTGGAGAAAGAAGGGGGGAAACACAACCTCCACTACCCTTCCCTCCTCATCTGGGAGAACAATAACTGCCTCCAGCTGGAGAGGGTCAGCTTTTGTCCCCGTCTCTGCTGAAAAGAGTAAAGAGCAGACGGACGCGCTGACACACTGACCTCCTGCTGTTGCTGCTGCTGCTGTTGCTCAGCAAACACTGCGGACTGCGCTGATTCCTTCAGTACTTGGACAGCTCCCGAACAACAGTCGACGGGACCGTTTTCTTCCCCATGACTCTGACCGCTGACGGACTCGAGGCAGAAACTCCAAATGCAGCCGCCGTGTTCGCTCCATCTCGGAACTTCGCTGACCTTCGGCTCTCAGAGCGGCACGGGAAGCCTTCACCAGCTGGAGGAAAAGCAGCTGTTTGAGAAGTTTTGGGAGGGCACTTTCAAGGCCGTGGCCACCCCGAGATCGGAGAGCGTGATTGTAGAAAGCATCACCTCCCGAAGGAGGGTGAATGAGTGAGTACCGGAGGTTTAATTTAAAGAATGAACACATTGGGTTTTCAATCTGATTATCGTGTCTTTTACTGTAGGGCATTGGTATGAAAGAAATGCTTGTTCATTACCCATCAGCCATGGCAGCTTGAGCCTTTTACTTACAAATGTATATAATATGTCTGTCCTTTCATCCATGTATCATTGTCTGCACAACTTTTGATGACAACTTCAA